CTAGGGGAATGAGAAGAGGAGGGAAGCTTTCATTATTATAGTCATAAAACTAACATTCGGTAATTCAGGGTGATTTTAAATATTGTGAGCTGCTGGTCACCTCATGGAGCCTATTGCAGCAGAATTAGGCTGGGTCATTATTTATTGCATAGAAAAGAAAGAAAAGGGGAATTTACCCATGTTTTTATGACATGCTGGATATTGCACTTACACAACTGTCTAAGGGCAAACACTTTAACCCCTTGAGATCTGCTAATCAGGAGTACCAGCTGTTAAGTGCCAGCGTGCATCCAGCATTCATGCCTGCAGGGAGAGAAAGGCTTGCAGAGGATATGACCCTAAACTTCAGAAACCTCCTCTCTCCTTGGGGGCAAAATATCATTCAGCTTGCATCTTCTCCTGTTTTCTTTTAGTTTATCCAGTTAATGTTCCTGATGTGAGTTGTTGTGCACTCACTGTGAATGCTTCAAGCCTTTAGGAAGATGATAGTTAATTACTGAAGTTAAAATCTGGCTTGCGCTGGTGTGGAAGTGCTTTCAGAGGTATTTACTCAGCCAGCTCACTGAGCTGCTAGGGGCAGGGGAAGGCTGGCAGTATCTGGCTCGCAGTGAATTACTGAAAATGTATGTTCTGTTTAAAAAAAAATAGCACATTGCACAGTCATTTTTCCCAATACTGTTGGTACAATATTAGCTCAGTCTTGCACTAAGTTACATTTGTATGTTCATTTAAAACAAGCAATGAAATCTGTTGTGAAAAAGCCCGTCACAAACACAACCCAAATTTATTCCTTGCAAAGTAAAATACAGTCAAAAGGTGAAAAGACCATTCCTTATTTTTTAAATGCTTCTTTTATCCTTTTCTTTAGCTTCTGAAACCAGTGGCAGACACATATATATTGGTGGAAAGAAAAGATAGAAAATACTGTATTTTTGACATATTTTGTTGTCTTTTCCAAATGTCATTTGCTCTCCAGCCTAGTATTTTTAACCCTTCCTGTAGATTATTTGTTATATGACAATAAATTGACATCTGCATCTATTACTGGGCTTAATAGTTTAGAAGCCTAAGCAAAACACTTCCAATAATTGGATATCATTGGAATCAGTGGATCAAGCTCTTCTTGCTTTTGCTCTAAACCACTGCATCAAATTCAGTTTGCATGGGTTTTCCAGATAAGCAGTGTTTCAAATGCCTTTGCAGTGTGTGGATATTTTGCAGCCATCTCAGTAAGAGCATGATTTGACCCTAATGTCCTTAGATACAATATTCCTCTTTCCTGATGTCATGTAGCATATGCTGTATTTTTTGTCACCTGAACGGGCTCAAAAGCATAAATAAATTGTTACTGGGTACTATATAATGTAATGCCATATTGTCATTCTCCCAAATGAAAGAGGAAGCCTCAGCATGGCAAAGAAAGTGTTGAATTTGTGTCAGATTTCAGCAAAATAATTCCAAAGAGAGGTGAAAGTTCATGCTGCACTTAAACAGTGAGCTCTTCTCACCTGTGAAGGCAGGTTGGGTTCAGACCTCCCTTTGTGCCTTGAAAATCTCTTTCTTTGTCTGTGTCTGTCACCAGAAAACTTTTTACAGACTATTGCACACGCCAGTGGTAGTCAGCTGAATTTACATAATCCAGCAGCAGAGTATCCTAAACTTGAATAGAAAAAAGCCCTCATCACAAAATGAGATTTAATAGAGGACTAGCAATATATATTTAAACTCATTTGTTTTAGCCACAATAAGGGAATAGATGCAGAACATATAGATGCAGAGGAGGAAGAGAGACTTACACATGCAGAGAGAGAACAAGTCATGCTGGCTTTTTCCTATGCCATTGATTTCATCTCCTGTCCTGTGAATTTTCTTGTTCCAAGGTGTTTTTCTTCTGAAACAGTGTCCTGTCTTTGCAGCCCTAAGTTTCATTGATCAGTCTCTCCAGGCACTTACATATCACCATAGTATCCAAGGCATTCAGAGGTGGAAAAAATGGTGTAGCAAACCAATCCTTGTCTCTGCTTTGGATTGCCTCTAATGCCTTGGCATCTCAACAAGACACTTGATTTGCTCTGGTTTTCCTTAAAATTGCCTATGGCTGAGGACATCTGAAATGCTTTTGGATGACCTGATGATCACAACACATGGGCTAGGGACACTAGTGAGTAAAGACTGATGTTTTAGGGACTTTACTGACAGAACACTTCAGAACAAGCTTCCCCTTAAGCACACCAGCCCACTAGGACTGTTCTGATGTTCCAGTCCATGCATATGCTTTGGTGTTTTGCTAAATCAGGATTTTTTAATCAAGTGTTGTTCATACTATTAGTCATGTCATTCCCTTAATGATGATAAAAAAGCAAATATCAGTTCACTAGTAAATGCTGCAGTCTGCATCACAGAAATGGAGCAATTAACTCTTTCAACAGTAAACTCAGAAGCCTGTCTGGCCACTAAAGAGTGTAACAATGTCTTATCATAAACCTTTTCTCTTTTTGTTCAGAGGGTAGAGTATTTTCAAATAAAGATCATCCCTCAGTGTTGGGGGGACAGAGATGTTACACTCATGGGTACTTGAGCTGCCAGCTGCAGTGGAGGATCTCTGGGTTCATCCTTGCAGCAAACACCTGGGAAGCTCAGAACTGTGGATAGCCTTGTCCATAGATAGCAGTGTCTTAAATATTTCTCAAATCTTAATTTCTGAAAGGAGAATTCCTCTTACTTTGAACCAAGATGTTGCTGGAAGTTTTTGTTTCCTGGTAATCAAATGAGGCTACATGTGAGGCTGTAAAGCATGTGCAGCACTCACATAGCTCTGCTTCCATCCACAGCTGTGGTGGAACAGGAAAACCCCACAAAATTGCACGTGTGTGAGATTAAACACTGAAGAGAGCTACTGTGTTTTATCAGTGTTAGGGTTTGTGAAGAGGGTACCTTTAGTGATGCTTTCCAGATGAATTGCCACCGCAAAACCTGCAACAGATTTAAGGTATAATTACTGTCAGTGGTATCAGACTTTACGGTGTATGTAAGTATTGCTTTGCTCTGTTGTAAGGAGATTTGGGGGGTTTTAATTTTCAAATAAAACCTTCTATTTTTTTTTTCAAAGCTCATCCCTGTAAATCCTGGGGAGGGGTGGGGAGCAAAAGGCATGCAATGTCCCAACCCATAGTAATTAGCAAAACTGTCTGTAAGACACCATTTCTAAATTGTCACTAGTATATTTACTGAAAGAATTCATTCATTTTCTAATACAGCTGAAGAACATATTTTCATTTATTTGAAGAACATATTCCAAATAAATTATTCTTGTAGAGCTGTTGCTATTTTTAAATATAATTTCATAATTTTTATCCAGGAAACCAAGTTAAATCATTCATCATTCATTGCTATTCTGAATTTTTGTAAAAGATGATGCTAAGATATAAAGCTGAGTTGGGTAAATGAGGGGGTGCATGATGTTTGCATTGATATGAACCCAACTATGGGTAGACAAGCCCTTAAATACAAGAGTTGTATGAGGAGTGGTAAGTGTTGGGTCCAATTCTCCAAATCCAGTTCTGGGAACTCAACAAGTATGTGTTCTAGATGTGTACAAGTTACATTGCAGCAGCAGTGCTCTAGTGCATGGCCACTGAAACCCCTGTGAATATTTGGGAATATTTAAATGCCTCCAGAAGGAAGTCCCAAATTGGCAGAGGGTGGCTCGGGAAGTTTTTAGGACCAGGCAACTGGAAGCAGTTGACAAATCTTCTTCAGAGCCCACCACTGAGTATCCCTTAAACAGAGCATATTCCAGAACTGTGGCCAGTCCCTGCCCTTGATAAACCATCCAATGACAAAAGTGAATGTACAAAAAAGGAGACACCTGAGGTCAACACGATTCCAGCTCCTGTAGCTGTGGGCCCACATCAGCCCCAGGAGAATGAACAGCCACCCAGGGCAGTAGGGCACAGGGGAGCAGGGATGGGGTGGTTACACTTGCATTAGGATGACCCTCTGCCCATCTGCCTGGTGCTTTGGTTCCATGAGATGGTCTTGCAAGATGCAGAAGGGAGAAGATACAAGAAGGCCAAATTCTGCATGTGAACTTTTCACCTCAAAGGATTTCCAGCCAGGCTTCCATTCTTGAAGCTCATACAGGAATGACCAAAATCCTGATTCCCTCTCAATCCCTTCCTAAAACATCAGATTAGGCACTTAAGGAAAATGAGAAGAGTGGTCTTGAGATATCAGTCACTGGAGGAAATTGAGGAGGAAATCAGCATCTCCCTGTCCTCTTCAGTTTTGTAATCTTTGTGGATTATAAGAAAGGGAAGGGGCTCAAGGACTTGCTTTGATCTCCATAGTTCATCTATTGAAAGGAAGCTCCTCCATGTGTGTGGGGCAGGGAGCCAGCCCCAGCCAGGCTTCTGTGCCTGTTTCACCTGCCCTGGTGCCACCCATGGCTGCAGGGCAGCTGTGTCCAGACACCCAGAGTGGAACCTAAAGAAAATGCCACAGACTGGCCAGGTGAAACAGTGACCACACAGCAAGGTGGTCTGACAGGTCCTGAGCTAGGAACCACAGACGGATTTTCTGGATGTCAGCTGCAGGTGACAAAAGGTCACCTAAATCTTGTTTTTACAGCATTAATCTATGTGTGGTTCAGGCCCTTAATTCAGTGCATGCTCTTAGAAGTGACAAAGGGGATGCTCAGTGGCATTGCCATGACAGACCCTCAGGTTCCACAAAATATATTCTGCTCTGGTGCAGAGACATTTTTAAGAATTTGTTTTTCTCTGGCTTCTCTTGACTTAATGTTAGTAAAAGGTGCCCCAACCTCTTATTTTTCTATATGAAGACAAAAATTGCAGCTGCCTGCCAAGTCTGCTGAGAGATGGATGTAATAATTTTCAATTGGACTCTTAGCCCAAAGGGAACCCGACAGCAAGAGATTGACAGATGCAGCATGGATTATCTTGTGCTCTGAACTCAGCCCAATTTGTGGTTTGTTGCAGGTGCTAAAGAGATTGATATTGCTGCTACCCTGGAGCACTTGAGGGACCAGAGACCAGGCATGGTCCAGACAAAGGTACTGTCAATAAATCCACTGGGATTTTAAATACATTAAAGGTCTTTCACAGTAGTTGTTTTCATGACAGAAGAGAAAGGGTATGACCTAATTTAACGCAGGTCGCTTGCTGATTACTCTGTTTGGCTCCCTCCCAACTGAGGTTTATTTATGCTGAAGATTTATCTAGGTTACTTTCTTTGGTGTTTACTGTTCTTTCTTGTAACATCTCCAGCATCTATCTTGATTACCATATATGAAGGGCAGTCAAGACAACAATCTATAGCCTGCTAAAAAAAATGTGCATTTGAAAGAATGTTCTTGCTTTCATCCTGAACTATGGATTATTTTCTTCAAGTATCTGTGCTTAACTGTGCTTGTAATATTTTTTTTAAAGCTTCTACTCATTAAAGAGAATGTAAATGCTGCATTTGATATTTTTTTCTGAAAGAAAAAAAAACTCAGAAGTTTTGAATTAAAGGAAATAAAGTTTTGCAGGGAATCAAGTAATTTTTAGTATCTTTGAATGAAGGAGCTTGCATCAGCCTTTATGGATGTAACATGGCAACTATATTTTTACACTTTGGTGAGATGAATGCCTTACTCTCAAATTCCTGTCAGTTGTAATAGTTTTGACATTTTTCTACAATGTAAAACTTTTAAACATAGTAGCTGATGGTGCAATTCTAGTCCCTTAAATTAGAAATGAAGCTTTCTGTTATTAACAATTCCGGTGATGTATGGAATGATATTGTGGGATATGTGCTGCAAGTTAAGAGCTGCAAATATGACAATAAAAAAACTCTTTCCTGGTATGAAGGTGAAATAAATCAGTTTATGGCCTTATAAAATATCAAATGATAGTTATAGTCCCAAACTGAGCAACAAGAGCAATGTGACAGCACTGGGTCTTGGCCAGGCTGGAACTGATAGGAAATTCTGCAGTGTTTAGGGAGTTGAAATTGCTGAGGGGCAGAGGTGAAATAAGTATGTTTTGCAGAAATCATTGGTTCATAATTTTTCCTGAATCTCTTCCCAATTATGTTATTTCCCACTAATATTAGGGGAAAGCGCTGGTGAAGAGCAGCTTGGGGAGTGTTAATTATTATTTACCAATTAAGTAAATGCATGAAAAATAAAGATGAGCTAGTCAAAACTAACTAATCTTTATCTGCAAGGAAGACATAAAATTGCACAAGTCTTTCTTCTGCTTTGATTGTTCCAACTGGAACAAAAGGCAAATAGCACACAGTATCCAATGTCATATATATTTACTCTGAGGTAAGATGCAAATCCTGGACTACTCTGCAAATGCATTCAAAATATGTAGCAGCTCTGTGGCAACATAGAGCTCAGATTCCAGTTTCCTTTTCAGGGCAGAGAAATTATGGCTTGTTGCCTTCAACGGAAGGAAAATCATAGCTCCTGAAGGAAAGAATGAGTTTATGTGAACAACTTCTTCTACTTAGCTCAGCAATAGTTACCTGAATTCCACGAAAATCTCCCTCAAGACATGGTTTTTCCCTCCAAACATTTGTCTGGAAGAGCTTCAGAAAACAAATGTACCCTGTGTTTTTATCCAGGGTGAAAAATTTTCTCAGGATATTGCTTATCTCTGCTCTTGCTCCTTCTTCCATCATTGTCATTTTCTCAAAACCACCCAAATCACTTATTCAAGCTAATGTCTTGCAAATTATAAATATCTGGTTACATGCTAGCAATGCATGATCCCCAGAGAATTTTTCTGATGGATTTAAACAAACCCCTGTGCTTTCCCAACTGAATACAAATGAGGAATATTAGACTCTTGGAGTAATTTAAAACGATGGATTAAAAGTCAGGTTAGAAATGCCAATTACAGAATATCCCTAGGCAAAATAAACACCAACTTCCTTCAGCAATGTTATTTTGTTTCCAGCAGGCAGCGCTCCACCTTTCCAACAGGCATGGGAAAGATTTGTTTGCAGCATTTTGTCTTCTGGAAGGGATCTTTAATTCAGAAGCACTGTATATAATAAATTGTAATGAAATTATCATAACCACATTCTGCATTTCTGAGAAGCATAATGGAGAGTTTGTGGGTTTGTTGGATTTTTTTTTTTTCAGGAGAATTGTAAAATAGAATTGATATGTCACATATGAGAGGAAAAAGTAATGAAGGAGGAAGTGAATTGTCTGTGATGGGAAAAAGATATATTTCTTATTTTTCCTGTCTCCTCTATCCTCTCACAATCTATAATAGTAGATAGATTCCTTACTGTGTTATATATGCTACATGAACTCACTTTGTTTTCCTGGGAATTTTTATCTGTAGACTTAATGAAACACAGCCATAGTTACTTTTTACTAAGTATATTCTATTTTTAGAGCAGAATTTTTAGAATATATTTTTTATTAGTGATATTCTGTTTATTAAGTATATTGTCACCTCTGCATTATAGATAAACTGACATCACAGAATGTCTGCCCAGCTCTGTTTTCTAGGCAAAACTAGATGTTAAAATTCATCTCCAGGCAGTCTTGTATATGCAAATAGAATATGTGAATGGCAGTGTAGCTGTACAAAACAACAAACTGATCTCCTTAAAAATTACTGACATTAATTTGCTCTAACTGCAGTTGTCCTCATGGAGAAGTGTGGAAGGCGTGGGAAGGCTTTTCCTGGGAGGGTGGTGATGCCCAGCAGTGGAAGTTGCACTCCCTGCCTTTCACCTGGGTGTGTTATGCAGAAGGATGCAGGGGAAGAGCTCAGCTGGCCATCCCTGACCGGCCATGTCCCCACACAGCTCGTGTCTGCTCTCCTGTCCCTTCACTGCAGTCAGTTCTGAGCCCTGGCTGTGCAGATCACACCTGTGAATTGTTTTACTCAGTCATTGAGGTCACACTGCCTGTTGCTCAGTCCCTGGTGAGGCAGACACTCTTCCTCAGGCTTTTTGAGCTGCTGCAAGCACCCAGTTTGGTTCTGCCCCAAAACGGCCCAAATTTGCCCTCTCTGACCCTGCTGCTCTCCAGCTTCTCTCACACTCATTGTGCTCTGGGTAAATACAACTGATGCTCCTGGATGGCCCCCAGCATTCCCAGTGCTTCCTTTAATTGCAGAGACTTTAGACAGTGCAGGGAGCCTTAGGCAATCATGCCCACCATTTTCAGTGCCTACTGAGGATGAGTCCTTCTCTTTAGGGTGAACTGATGTCTGATTAAAAGCTGTTGGCTGCAGTCCAGCTAGTGTACATGGATGCCACTTTGACAGCACCAAGCAGACAGCAAAATTCTTGAATGGCAGTGTCGCTGAGAAATTATTCTGAGTTTTATTCTGCTTTTTCTGCTCTGGCACTGTGCCCATCATTGCTTCTCTGAAGCATCTCTGCATGGGAGCTGACTGCAGTTGGGTAAGACAAGGCAGAGAAGACTGGCACTGGATTGCCGGAATTAAGAATCAGCTGCCTGTCTGAACTTTGAGTTGTACATCTGTAGTTTGTTCTTTTCTTCCTGTACCTTTCTGCAGTAAAATGAAACTCTGTGGAAAATTAATGTTATTGGTTCAGTGATCACTTTTAGAGGTGGCTGTGTTCTGTAACCATCCCACACAGCCTCTGCCAGCACGAACTGAGATGCCAGAGGTACAGACCTCCAGTTTTCTAATGGGACACACAGACAGTATCCCAGCAGTGATCTTGGCATGCTTTGCAGGGTGCATCTCAAACCTGCATCCTCAGAGTCAATTCCTCAGCAGCTCTTGATCCCAGCTACCTTAAACCTCTGGAGTACTTCCAGAAAATCCATTAATTTCTCCACAGTCCTTATCTGGTGTCTTCGATTTGCCTATATTTCGAGAAAACTTTCCACTGGAAAGTTTCAAACTCCAAATCAGCAGTCAGTTATTTCGGTAAGCTAAATTACTGAGAAAAAAAATCACTTGCTTGGAAAATATAACACCTGTTAACCTTGAGGATTTAAAACTGCTTTGTCCTTCTGTAGGACTGCACAGTTCAGGAGTATGTTAGGTTTGCACTCAGAAGAAGAAGCCATTCACAGCTGTGTCCTTCACACCTCTGCCAGCCCAGCACAGAAGCTGGCAAATCATTTTGGTGTTGAGGTTACAGTAAAATAATAGCAGAGAAAAGCCTTCCCAAGTATGTCTAATGTAGGAGTGGTCTTAACAAAATTGAATAGTTTGTGAGTGTGGAGAGGACATTAAAAAAGAGAGGTTTAAAAAGATCAATCAGCCAAAAAACAGATATTGTTCTATATAATAGATATCAGGGGAGGAGATATTTACTTTAGATTCTTTCAACTAGAAACAGTCCTGAGAAAAGCCAAAGTCTCTGCTTTACAGCATCTCACTTACTTCATATTTCAATAATGTACTGAGTTCCCATCTCTGTGTCTGAAGTAAATGGCTGGTGATCAGCTACTCCCAAACCCTTCTGACCATGCAATGGCAATAAATCATCATGTCCCAACAGCTTGGGTTCTGCCACTAACATTTTTCTCCATTAAAATGACTCCAGCTTCGAGATGCTGTCAAACATATTATATGACATCAATAATCCAAGAACATTTTGTTCCTTTCCCTTGCAGTGTACAGTTCATCCTGCATATTCATATTTTTAACAATGTCTTGAGGAGGTTCAGCTGCAGAACAGAGCGCCAGGCTTTGTGGGAAGTGTTTTGTTTTATTATTCAGGGTGTGCGTTTGTTCTCTCCGCAGGAGCAGTTTGAGTTTGCTCTGACAGCGGTGGCAGAGGAAGTGAATGCAATACTCAAGGCCCTTCCCCAGTGAGCAGCTCGGTCTCCTGAAGGTTCCTGCAGAATCCATCCCTCGTTTTCCTCATCCTCAGTCCCTGTGAATGTTCTTGGAAACCGTGACCTGACCTTAACTGTGTATCTTCTGTTGTAACCACATAGTGATTGGGTCCCTACAAACTGCTTTAGCTGGTAAAAGTTCAACAGTTAAAATGTGTATTCTGTTTTTTTGGGGTTTAAACAAATTTTTTAAAGTACATCAAAGCCTCGGATTAAGTGACAGAACAATCCATCTAATTCCTCCTACATCCTCGAAGCCCTGAATGTCACACTTTGAAAGCACACATTCGTGTTCTTAATAGAAAATATACAATATCGTGGGTAATTAGTGCAGTCAATATAGTCTCAGAAAACAGTGTTCTGTTATATTTTGTAACTTCTCAAAGGCTGAATAAGAGTGGGGGCCTAAAGAGGATGGTGATTGTTCCCATACAGAGCCAAGCTGGAGCATGAAACTGCTGTGGGTGTGAGCAAACACAGGTCCAGGCTCTGGCAAGGAGAGCTTGCACCTTCTCATGCCAGGCTTTGGCAAGCAAATGTTTTCTTAACTGTTGTTTACTTTTCAGCTTTGTGCCATGAGAGGAAGAAAGTCTGAACTTTGAGTAAAAGAGGCTTGCATGGTTGTTGCAACTGGGGAGAAAACATGTTGGTCACATTTATGGAAAGCCAGGGATAATGAGCACAACTCTGGCCATGTACCTGGCACTGACAGCACAGAAAAGGAGAGCATAGGCTCCCCTCAAATGATGGGAAAGGTCCTGTCAGCAGTCAGGTAATTGTCTGGAGCTGTTATGGAAAGAGATTGTTGGTTTTATGGGATTACTGAGGAAGAAAATGGGATTCTCCCCTTTATACCTTTGCATTTCCCTCTGTAATGCTCCGCTGTGCCATCCTTTGTAGCCAGGAAAGTGTATTTCTGTAAAAGGCTGGCTGAAGAAGAAATCTCCAATCTGCATTTTATGACTCTCATCGAGTTTGTCTGATCCAAGCATTTGTTGCAGCTCTCTGCAGAGGCTTTGCTCACTCCTTGTTCTGCAGGACACCTATTTGAACTGAGCACGAAGGGGTAAAGCAGCACAAAGATTGAATTTCAGAGATTCTTGTGTTCTCAAAAGCCTAATGCCTACTGTTGCAAAGTAATGCTAAAATATGTCTGTAAATGGTTTGGATATGCAATCTTGCTTCTGTGATTTCACAGGTTCAGTTGTGGCACTTTTCTAAAGGAATTTACATTATTGATAGAAAGTACTCTGATATGTTTGAATGAAGGGCCTGAGAGTAAAATTATTGAAGGTACCTAAGTGATCTAGGCTATTAATTTCATTTTCAAAAGTGAATATATGGATGCTTTTTCATCTGCTATCCTACATCTCCATGATGTAAGAATCTGGGGTGCTTTTTTCCCAAAATCTTATGAGTATTGTGTGCTTGAAACCATATTAGGCTAATTGTTTAACTTCAACACTGGAAAATATATCATTGAATTTAATTTGGGAAGGGGAGCTTTCATAAACTTCTAATCAGTGCAATGTTAAAAATAACAGTATCATACAGTTTTGCTGGCACAGAGGTGATGAGCATCAATCAAAATCAACCACGTTGCAATTTTGTGTTGTAGGTGTGGATATTGGTGATTTCTTCTTTTTAGCAATTAAAGAGGTCCTTAAAAAAAAATAGCAGAAGGCTTGTTACTTTTTGCCATACATTTTTGTATGCTTTACTTGATATATGCTGTTGCCAAATTTGTGCATCCCATTACTACAGCAGTGCAGAGCAGTTACTGCAGATGCCATCATCCTCTTAAGTACACATACTGTACATTAAGCCACATGTTTATTTTATGGCCTAAGCATTTTAGAGCTTTCCTAGCAATAACTAAAAAAACTAATGGAGTATAAATGAGAAAATTGCCTTTTTCATTTGATAATTTAGGTTCACTGGGATTCTTTTATTACTTTAGCTAACACAAAATTTCAGATCAGGGCAGATGAGATCAGTTTGAGCTGTATCAGCAAGTGTTTGAAGTAGATTTACTGTGAGCCACGTACTGCAGCTTTCTGAAAATACAGGTGTATGCAAACAAACTGTCCAAAGAATCAAAACTGGGGCATCCTAAGCCAAACCCTGTCTCTGATTACTGGGTGGAATTATTTTCCAGTGTTAGATGCTGTGCCATCACCCACTGCCAATGGGCGAAGGGAGTTTTACCACAGATTTCTGCCCTGGGATTCATTAGTGTTTGCCTCCTGACTGTCCCTGTGCATACCACCAACATGACTGACGAGCCTTTCGTTGCACTTCAGGAACATTTTTTAATTGTTCTTTGGCAAATATTTGCATTTCATAATAGCAATTTCAGGGTGATCCCTATTAATTCACAAGCCAGCTGAGTGTGGGACTTCATGCTTCAGAGTTTATTTAGCGTAGATTAGAGGGCATTAATCTTCCCCAAGGCTAATGGGGCAGGAATGTATTGTTTTACTCATCCTTGTAGAGCAGTTTACACAACAGAAAGATGCAGTTTTACTCAGAGGGTTAGAGTATCTCCCACTGACTGTCATCGACAATCCTGTTATTTCAGCCATGTTTTGTACAGTTCTTCCACAAAGAGGTGCAAGGCTTATTCTGTTGACTGTAAACAACCACACAGAATATTTCATCTGTGCATAGCACACTGTTCACACCTCTCAATAAATGCCCTGCTTCTGGGTGTGATAATCTGCTGCAGGGTCAATTAGTGAAACGCAGGTTTCAGGTGCACCAGGGCAATCTGGAGGGATCTGACTATCTATTTCCCAGGAAGATGCCAAAGCCATGGATGAAGCCACAGAGATGGATTTGCCATGCAGGGCAGGTATTTATTTTCACTGAAGTTAACTTAATCCTTGTGATCTGGTGAAGGATGTTATTCAGGCCAGCCCCCAGTCACTTGCACTAGACGTGGGATGCTCCCCATGTTCACTGTCAGGTTGAGCTGAGCTTCTGCCTGAAGACCAGGATCACCTGAGAGCTCAAAGTCAAATGAGACCCACCACCCTTCTCTGTTCAATTTTCTGCTGATCTTTAGTAAATTCATTGCCATTGAAGCTGGGGCTGGTGCCTGACTTGGCCACAAACATCATGTGTTTAATATTGGACACACTCACATTCTATACAAATGGAGTGTACAGGTTCTGTTTGTGTGCTTGAGCCTTTAAATTACATTTTAGGGGGCAACCTGAGGGAGGGTGATTTAACCCCACTGTTCCTTACTGGTCAGAGGCAGAAATCCATGTTGTCCCACAGGCAGCACACAGAGTTGCTGTCCCTGAGCAGGGACCTGAGCAGAGCCCTGCTGATGCAGTCAGTGTGTCCAGACAGGAGGGACAGAAAGGTGGATGATACCAGAGATGATATTTCACAGGAGTAAAAGCACAGTTGCTCTCTTCAGCCTTTGCCCTTGCCATGACATGGGCTGGGACTTAGAGGAATGGAGAGGCAGGACAGCCCCGTTCCCCAAATCCCAGATCCCTAAGGTTCAGCCTGAGGCACAGTGTGGGGTTTGCTGTTGGCTTCAGGTGTTCAGGTGTGACCTGTAACCATTGCTGGTGGCCACTGCCATGGGACCTGCTGCAGCCCAGGTAAGTCCCATCCCAGTGGAAGTCCCTGGCCAGGAATGAATTTCAGCAGAAAATCACAAATCCAGATCTCAATCCAGTAGCAAAACAAGCCAGATTATTTTTATAGAAGCTACTAAATGTTTAACACATTTCAAAATATTTTTAGAATCTACACCCATGACTAAACCTTGTCCCTGTCTCCAGCATGCATGCAGAACCAATCCCCATCCATTCCCGGGGGAATGACAGCTATAGTACCTGTAAGGAGTTCATGCTTTATTAGTCAAGTGGAACATTAATAAAACCTGGCCCACTTCATAATTTCCAGAATAGTCATTAATTAAAAAAACTGTTTATTGGAACAGAAAACAAGAATTTGATTAGCTTTGTTACAGAACAATAGCTCTCCTCATTTTTATTCTGCATATTTTATTCTTTCTTTAGAAAATTCTCTTAAGAAGCATTTGAGATAATTCGCTTTTTAAAACTGTACAGTTTCTATGGTTTTGCTTTTTAAATGAGAGTACACTTTGTAGATTTGATTATTATATTTTTCTGTTAATATTACATTGGGCATTACAAAAGCATTCCCCACCACAGTGAAAAGAAAGTGATCCTGTTGGTTTATTGTAAAAGAAAAAAAATAATTAAAACAAAATTGCAGAGCTGTGGCATACTCAATCCAATTAGAGCATGACTCTTTACTACTTTTCATTTACCACATGAGAAAAAAAATAGTTACACCAGCAAGATTTCATTTGAAGCTGTTCATGCATGCTGTTTGTACTGTATTTGATGGCATAATATTGTTTTGTTTACAACCTTTTCTTTCTCGTCATTCTATTATATTCTTTATATGTATATAGTTAAAAAAAAAGATTATACAAAGTATTTTGTTCTACCTCTGTAAAGATCATATTTGTGAATAAAGTCACGTTGTCTGTGCAGTATGGTATTGTGAATACAGCATTAAAAGCTGGTGCTTTGCTTTTATTTGGGGGTGGGAGTGGTGCTGATGTCTCCTGCTGGAGGGGGCGGTCTGACTATCCAAGGTGGGAACAGGAGGCTCACAGGGAGGGGCACAAATGCCCTGCTGATGGCTTGGATATGCACATTTCATCTGCTCTGAACAGAGACTGCAGCCAGCTCTGGCTCAGGTGTGTGGCCCTTAGTACTGCGCCTTACAGGATTTTGATTGAGATGGATTTCTGTATTCAGGCCAAAAATGAAGCAAAAGAATCACAAAGTTACAGGGACCCTCCTTGTACTGCCAGGAAGTGGGGAAAAAAATCACCTAGAACTTGTGCCACAGAGTGTACAAGTTAACAAAGAAATTAAATGGAACCTGCTTTCAGGAAAATTAAAGGCAGGAAAATGTTTTGGGGAAGCTGGTGGATCAGACCATCAGAAAATGGCCAAGGATTTATAGTTTTAAAATAGTAGAAGTTCATAGGAGTATTTGAACAGGTAAAGGAAACTTCTCACTGTTACATCAAATAAGGTTAAAAGAAATAAAGTATGAGGTTACCACACAAACACAGCATTCAATAAAAGGTCTTTTTCCTGGAGTAAAGGAAGTCATTTTCCCATAAGCACTGTTCATGATATGAAGGTTTTGGATCTTCCCATTAAATACTTACTGTCAGCTGTCAGAGCAGTCTTTGGGTTTGGACAGCCCTGGCATGGCAGTTTCCATGGTCCTGTGTTATGTGTTGAAATTTCACTTGTGTTTTGAAGAAGACTTAAAATATGCTTTCCACTTACCTGGAAATCACTAGAAAAATGTAAACAGAAACCTAAAGTGGTCCTGGTCCAGCTCACTTCCTTCCCATCAGAATAATCACATTTTACATTCTTTAACCTTGTTTATGTAGTTGCATGTTTTAATATCTGTGCCTTTCTCAGTGTAAGAAGGTGACTTTCATCTTGGAAGCAAAATATATGCACCATTACAGCTATTTTCCTGTTGGTGTAATTTAGGTCTTTCATCTCCAAGACAGCTTTCTGAAAACTCCAGTAGCATCAGATGGAGGACAAAAAGAGAAATGTGTTTAACTGTATAAATACTGGAGCATTGTGAATCTTCTAGATAAAACCAAAGCTACCAGTTGTGCATCATCCATTCATGCAGGCAGTGCTGCTCTGGCCTCACACTGCACAGGTGCACACAGCTGTAAGAACAAGTGGGATGGGACTGGTATTCCTGGTTTTGGATGCTGAGCAAAGAACTGCACAGCCACAGGGAGGGGTATCTAGGCTGGGTTTATGTGTGATTGAAACAACTGAGCCCTTGGGGAAATTCTTCTTAAGTCAAAAATTAATTTCTCTCCTTGAGAGTGCACCAGTTAAACCCCCCACATGCAGGAAATCAGCAATACAGATAAAAGATTCAGTGTGGCTGACCAATCTGGGAATTCAGACTTTGTAAGGTTTGGGCTATTTGGCTGATATTCTGTTAATGTTACATTGCACTGCCCCAGAGTTTTCCTGCAGTAGCTTTGGTCACACTTCTCAAAGATACATGAATGTATTGCTCCCATCATTTCCAGCATATAGAGCAGGTGGGATTCATCTTAACCAGCCTCTGTGCAGCTTTTCATGGACTTCCACAAACCACCCACTCATCATAAGCTTCCTCTGTGGTCAATAAAGGAAAACAGAGCATTTTTAGAGTGGGAATTACCTGGTTTGGCTTCCACTTCACCATGAGGTGATTCATCCTATTCACCCCATACTCTGAAACAGGGAACATCAAAATTTTACTATGTGCTAAGTACAAAAGCATTTCCTTTCTATATTGTAAACCTATTCCCTCAAAACTGCATTGGATCACTTGTCAGAAAAAGTGAAGTGATTTCTGGTTTTATAGACCTTGAATTTATAGACATCCTTATCCCATTCCTCCTTAGTTTCTCCTGATCCATACAGATGACTCATGTCCCCTCTTATAGAAGCTGTCCTGTGCCTTTGATCACCTTTGCTACCCTTCACCTTAACTTGTCCAATTCTATTTGTACTACACTCTGAGGTACAGAGGGGCTAGCCAGGCTGTAGTCCAGTGTCACTGTGATGTTTTTAGATATTTTAGACATTTTCCTCTTCTTTGGAATGTCTAACATTTTGTTGCCCTTCTCCATTGCTGACCATTGAGGTTCTGCTCTCAGACACTCATTCACAGCAATACCAAATGCTTTTCTTCAGGTCATCTTTATATCTTTATTGTTAAGATGTATTTCATTATATGAATTACTTTATCACCAGTAATTTCATCTGCCATCCTCACAGTCCTACAGTATTACAAGGTCTCTCCATGACACTTCTCAGCTAATTTTGTTTTCGTATTGGTAGGGAACAATGTGGCATTCACACTCTGCCACCTCCCTATCACCTCTTCCTTTTTCCTATTGGTTAAAGTGGGGAATCACCATCACTACAAAAATTGTCCCTTTATTCACAACGTGTTTCTTAACTTCATTAACCCACAAAAAATCTAACCCTTAATGCAATGGCAACTCAGTTTCTGTAAGAACCTTTCACGATACAGCCTTTGCAAAATGCTTTTAGGAAAGCCAAATACAAAATCATCACATACATCATCAAACTCACTGATTTTTTCAGAGTCTCTTAGGATGCTTTTGCAACACAACTTGACCCTGCAAAAGCCTTGTTGCTGCTTCCTCCTCTTTACACCATCAGTCATGCAGGGTCTAGACACAGGGGTGTGGATGCTGCTTATAGAGTAGGACACTAAAATAGCTTTGGTATCCTTATGGAGTCAGTGGAGAGCTACTGGATGGGCTAAAAATGGAGCTGTGGAGCTCAGATAGTGCAACCCGCCCTGAACACAGCCCTGGGAGCACACAGCTCGGGGTCGTTCCCAGGCACATTTTTAGTGTCTCCAGAGATGTAGGCTCCTCTGAGTCCTCTTTGTGAAAAATATCTTTTGAAGATCTCATTGAAATTTCCCTTGATACTGATTGACTGCCAACCAGCTCCCCAAAAGGAGATGCCTTGTGCAGACAAACCCTCTCTGGGTTCCACCACCAAGGTTGTCATTGTAGAGCACACCCAGGCAAGCAGCACACATGGAAGGATTTATAAATAAATTCTTAATCTGTGAGCTCAATCCCACCCTCTGGGCAGGATTCAGTGCCTGCTGGTGAGTGGTTGCTGTCACTGCAGATGCTGTGGGTCCCCTGCCCAGCCTGCAGCACTCCTGCCAAATGGCTCAATCTGAGGTCTTGTGCTGCGTTTGCCAGCCCTGTGCTGGTGGCTGAAATCTCCTCAAGTGCCTCAAATCATGTTGGATGCTTACATTCAGGGATCTGAGTCCCACATCATGGGTCTAGCAGTTAGGGTTCTGTATTTTCTACCAGAATTGAAGGTATGGGAGGCAACTTGACAGGACAGCAGCTTCCCAGATAACCCACCGCTCCAAAAGAGGCAGCAGCTTCTAAAAACCCTAATTTTGCTGTCAGAACTGGATTCAAGGCAGGGCTGTGACTCCAGCAGCTTTACCTGAGTGTGTGCCAAGCCCAGCACGAGGTGCTGCAGTGACCACAGCAGGGCACAGCTGGAGAGCTGCCCTTGTGCTGGGCAGCACTAAAAGGCTTTGTGTACCTCACAGCAGTGACAGCCGTGTGTGGGATCACAGGCTCTGTTGCTTTCCAGCACAAGAGGGCAAAAAAAGGAAAACTGGCCAAAAGCATGAGTTCACATAAAATAAAACCTAGTGTACAGCAGTGCTCCATTAGCACTTGTTTCTAAATGTGGCATCCATTTCCTTCAAGCAGGAAGTCTGCTCTGATTTCCAACAGGTTTCATTTGTATTGTCCAAGTTAGAAATGTTTGTTCCTGAAGGTGGATATTACGATACAGAGCATCAGCAAGAGCAGCTCTTGAGGTGTTCCTGATGCTGCACCTGAGCTTTTGAGCAGAGGCCAGAGTGGACCTACAGCTTTGTAATCCTGATAAAAGCATTGCCAAGGCTGAAAGGAAACCAGAGCTCTGGAAAGTGGCTGAAAGGGAAAAACAAACTTCCACTTTTTCCAGAAAAACCTTTTGATTCTTTAAACATCATTTCCATAAGCAGGAATACACATTTGCTATTTGAAAAGGGAGATTGATTTAACATCTGGTGTGTCTAGCTGCGCCTGGTTGAAGGAGCTGGGTAAGTGACCTCACTCAGTGAGATGTTCCTTGCAGAACAGAAGGTCTTTAGCATTGACTTTCTCATCTGTTCTACTCTTCATTCTAAGACATGGTATTTTCATTCTGTTTTATTTAAATATGGTAGTATAGAAGCTGGAGTAACAAACTGGGATCTGTTAGGGTTAATCTGAAATTAATTACCTTTCTGCCCATGCCATATATTTCCATTACAAAGACCTTCAAGACAGGCAACCAAGCCAAATTGTGTTCCTAAGCAGTTAGGTAGGATTTGGCTTTCCTTACAGTTATAGCACTAAATGCTGAGCTTTTTGAAGAAACACTTTGATTATGTTTGTAAAGTTAAATTACCTTCTTTATTTTTTTCTCTGCAGTTCAGAGAATAAAGACATTGTGACAACATGACGAGCTAATGAACTGACTTGGGAAATAAAACATTTCTTGATGTCTCACAGACATCCAGGTATTTTGTTCTGTAAGATTTTGTTATGTCTCTGTTTGCTGAACCAGACCTTTGTTGGATTCTCAATAGTGCCAAATTCTTGCCCTGCTCAACTTTCATCTCCTTCACCTCCTTTATCCTCCATGGCCAAGAGGGTAGATGGAGATGGATGTGCTGGTCCCCCTGTGACATGAGGATGTGAGGCACAAGAATAGAATCTTGAAGGAAAGATGCTCTGAGAGATGCAGAGAACTTACAGCAGAGGTTCCTGTATCATCACATTCACCAAGGAGTGGAATGGATGGACATTGGAGTGATCTGCCAGAGCTGTCATCTCATTGCTGAGCAAGTTCCAGTC